GGGGGGGGGGGGGGGGGGGGACCTGTGGGTGCTCAGAGGGCACTCCCAGGGCGGCGACCTGGACACCAAGCTGCGGGATTACCCACCGCAGGCTGCGTAAACGCGGCCACAAACTCTCCCGCGCGCGGGGACAAAGGCGCACGGGGCGGGAAAAGTTCCGAGGCCTCCGTAGGAGTGAATATGAAATCCGAGGGACACAAGGTCGTGTCAGGAGCCCTTCCTCCCCCATGAGAGTCAGTGCCCCTCTCGAGGTGGGATAGGTCAGGGGCGCCCCAGGCGGGTCCCTTCCCTACCAGGCTCGTATACCGTGCAGCGTGGACACTCCCGAGTTGCCCTGCGGAATCCCAGGGCTCTGCACCGCGTTCAAGTCCCCGACGCCGAAGTTCACGAAGTTGTTATTGGCTGTGGCAGTGGCTGGCTGAGCCGGGGGAGGCCCGGCTGGGTAAGCAGCGGCGCAGCTGTAGCCGGGGTTGCAGGCCGCCCCACCATAACCCGGATAGGCGGAATAGGCATTATAGCCGTAGGCGTTAAGGCCCACGCCGTAGGCGGGCGCGTAGGGCGCCGAGTCTCCCAGGCATGGTTTGCCATCGCGCACGAGCACCGGCACCGCGATCCGGCGGGCAGGCGGCGGCGGCGGAGGGGGCAGCCCCACCAGCTCCAGAGTCTGATCCTGCCGCTGCCTCTTGCACTTGTAGCGCCGGTTCTGGAACCAAATCTTGACCTGCGTGGACGTGAGCTTCAGTACACTGGCCAGCTGGTCGCGTTCGGGAGCCGACAGGTATCGCTGCTGCTTGAAGCGCCTCTCCAGTTCGTAGACCTGAGCCTGCGAGAATAGCACGCGCGGCTTTCTCCGCCGTCGCGCGCGGGGCCGCTCCGCGCTGTCTGCCTCTGGCTTCTCCAGCTCCACCGCCTTCTGCAGCGCGCACAGCTCTGAGGGGGAACAGAGAGGCAGAGAGACGCTTGGTCAGAGCGGCCCGACCCACGGACCGCCTGCCGGGGATGGGCCCTCGTGAGTGCCACCCTGTCCTGCTAGGAGTGCCCAGCTTAGCTGCGGCACACTGACGAATGCACTGGGCGCTACCGATACGGCTTGATTTTCGCTCGACAGTCAGCATTTATTGAAAGCCTACTATGTGCCAGGAACGGCCCTACGCGCTGGAGGACGAAACAAGAGAGGTCCCTGTCCTCATGCAGTTCACATCCTGGGGGAGGACAGACAGTGACTTAAGATTTCCGGCGGCAAAGAAAAAACCGGGTGATGCTCTCGGGTGAATTATATTAGGGCTACTTTGGTTTGAGAGGTTAAATGAAGAGATCCTGAAGACTTACCCTGGCGTCGGTCACACTGTCTCAAAATTAAGGGACCGAAGAAACAGAAGACCCAGCAAGAGGGGGTTTGGTCATCAAAGGCTCTGGTGCGGCCGCCGCGGGGTTGGGGTTTGCGCAGCGCCCAAGAAGCCCCGGGTTTTCAGGCGGCCTAGGAATCTGCCCTGCCTGCTTGCCCGAGCTGGATTCAAATTGTAACGATCAATTCTAGCCGCCGTGCCCCGCCCAGACATGTTCCCTGGCCTGCTCTCTATCTCTAGATAAACCTACGAATCCTTTCCTGGCTCACGGCGGCCTTTAGTCCAGCTCCTCCGACTACCCAAGGTTAGCGCCCAGCGCGCCCCTTTCTGCCGCCCGGGCTGGCCTTCCTATCCGACCCCAAGAGCCGATCTGGCCCCTTTCCGCGGTCATCTCATTCACCACGCGCTCCTTCGTTTTCTAACATTTCCCACGAGACAACCTCTCGGCTCTGGCCGGGTCGGTAAATTGTACTGGAAAAATAAAGCGAAGTCAGATTTCGGAGGGTCTGCAACATTCCATAAAAAAATCAAGACCCTTGTTCTCAAAGACTCCACTCCCCTGGCACAAAGGAGGAAAGGCCCCAGAAACCCGGGTCACGAGTGGGCAAGAGAAGGTCCAGGACCGTCCTCCAGTTGTGCGCAAAGGTGTGTCTGTTGTGCAGCATTTAATTTCCGTTTAGCGCTTCTCTAGATCCTCGAAAAGATCCGTAAATCTGAAAGAGATTTAAAAGTCCCTGTTGCAGAGATGATCTATTTGTGTCTCTGTTCTACCAGAAACTGATCGCTTAACTCCATAACAGATCCAAGAGCGGGCCGAAGTCGCTCCGAGCTTTGTCAGGCCGGAAAAAAAAAAAAAAAAAAAAAATTAGTCTGGTCTCCTGTTTCTGATCCTCTCAATCCGGCATTTCCTCTAAACCTCGGATTGGATGCGGGGCACGGAGGCCCTCGGACAACCTCGCATCTCACATTCAGAGCGAGCTGCGCCTCCGCCCATCTGTGCGCGTCTCCTTCTCCCGGCCTGAGTTTCTTGGCGGCGGAGTTTGGGGACAACAGCGACCTGGGAGGGGAGAGAGGGCTTGTGTTTTCTCCTCACCTTTCTTATCGGCTCGAGGGTCCTTAACCGGGTCGGGGTCTCCATAGGCACGCGGATAGAAGGCGGGGGCGGCGGGGAAGGCAGGCGAGCATTTGGCGGGCGAAGGCACGGGACCCAGCTCTGCGCGCAGCTCCGGGAGGCCCGGCGCGGCCGCCTCAGGCCCCGCGTAGGCCTCGGGCTTGAAGGCGGCCAGCATGCAGGAGGCGGGCGCCAGGGTGGCCTCCAGGCGCGCGGAGAGCTCTCCGGCGGCCAGGCTGCGCTGCTCTTGCTCCAGGTTCAGGATGTCTTTGACGGAGAACGGCGTGGGCGTGAGTGCAGGGCTGGGGAACATGGTGGCAGCGCCAGTCTCACAGAGCCAGGTGGGCGGCAGAGAGCGGCGCTGCCCACGGCCCCTGGCCGCCTCCCTGCATGGTGCCCGCCGCCCGCCCCGCGCACCGGCCTTTCTGCTCTGGATGTGGCCCGGCAGCAGGTAGCGCTGAGCACAAGGGGCAGAAGAGGCGGGACCAGGTCGGAGGAGGGAGACTCAGATTGCCATTGGGCCAGGGGCCTCGCTGACAGAAGCGATGAGCAGTTTCGTGTCACCTAATATAGTCATACAGCTAAAAAAAAAAAAAAAAAAAAAAAAA